CCTATAATCCCAGCTGCTCAGGAAGCTGAGGTGGGAGGATTGCTTGAGCCCAGGAATTTGAAACCAACCTGAGCCAACATAGCGAAACCTGTCTCACATATAAAAACTAAATAAACATACATATAAAAAGAAAAGACTAGAAGCAAATATAAAGCAAGAGGTGCTGTCTTTATATATATACACATATATATATGGGCATATATATATATTTGTACTTTTCTATATTTTCTAAAATTTCTATAATGAGCATATAACACTTTAATATTAGAAAAGATTTTTCAAAAAGTTACCAGTAAATGTGAAATTTCAGTACAGCAATCATCTCATTAACAGTGCTAATCATAGGAATAACTGCAAGTTGACTAAAGCATACTATTTGCTAAAAGTGGAAGGAATCCTTTTTAATAGTCAGCACAGTAGTTTATGTTACATTTGTTCTTTCATTTTAAGGAAGGGGAAAATGACATTCAGAGAAGTTAAGTCAGTCCATTAACTATCCATAGGTTTTGGTGGGGTGTGGTGGCTCACACCTGTAATTCTAGCATTCTAGGGCGCTGAGGTGGAAGGATTCCTTGAGGTCGGGAATTACCAGCTTGAACAAGAGCAAGATCCCACCTCTGCTAAAAATAAAAAAGCCAACTGGGGTCCTAGCCAGCACCTGCAGCCAGCCTGAGTAGTTCATGCTACTTGGGAGACTTGAGCCCAGGAGTTTGAGGTTGTTGTGAACTAGGCTAATCTCTTGGCACCCTGGCCTGGGAGACAGAAAGACTCTGTCTTAAAAAAAAAACACCAAAGAACTATTTGTGGGTTTTGAGTTAACTACACAGTCATGGAAAGGATCCACTAGAGCTATCTAGTTCCTGGGCTTAGGGGCAGCCAGGGTGCTCCAGATCAGGTGATTGTAGGATCCTGGCATTATACTAAAAAATAAGCCAAATGTCAACAGGTGGAGTCCAAGAAGAGATTTGCAGTTATAACTACAGGGGACAGGGAGGACATCCTCACCTATCTCTTCTTACCCTCAGTCCTAAATTTCTCTGATTGAAAAGTTCAAAGCATAAGAAAATTGTTTTTAGAAATCTACACATTCAGGTGCTTATTATTTTGCTGTGTGAACATTAAGAAACAATTTTCATCTTAATCACGAATCTGCACCTCTGGTGACTGACCCTTGCATCTCCTTACTCAGATTGTGTCTGCATTCCAATACTGCCATGAAAAACAATTGCTCACGGAGACCTCAGGTGCGTAGAAGTGTTCTAACCGAGTGTATGCTTTATTTGTGTTCAAATCTCTCATTACACAAATGAGGTGGAGTTTAGATCTCGCTATTAAATAAGACAAAAATAAATCTCATAATGGTTGAAACCTTTTAACTGTTTTAATCAAGTTATAGTAGAGGATTAAAAATAAATAAAAGTAATATTTGTGACAGGTATTCACATTTCAGTTAAGGTGGCTGGTGGTTGATCTCTGGAGGGCAGTCGTTACACAACCAAAGAGATGAGGTCCCCCAGAAGTGCATGGTCACCTGGACAGCATCCTCAGTGCCACCTGGCATTATTTTCTGCTTCTCTAGGCAGCTTTGTCTCCTGTTAACAGCAATGCCTATTTGAGACCTTTAACAGCCTCCACCCTAGCATGGGATGAGGTTTCATATTTCACAGAGAAAATGGAAACACAAGCTCCCCCTGTTTTCCAGCAGGCCCTGAGACAGAGCTGCACCTGCACCCATCCTTCACCTCTCCTCTGGTTACAGGAAAGTGGGGCACCTTCTCTCTCTGTGGGCTATGCCCTCTCTGATGCCTCTTTTCTCTAATTTTTCATTCACTCTCTCCCTCTCTGCTTCTCACCATCAGCATTTACAAATGCTCCAGTCTATGCCATCTTTTTACCAAAAACCCTCTCCACCCTAGGTCCCCTTCCAGATATACCCATTTCTCTTTCCACAGCCACAGCACATTTCTCTAAACGTTTTCTGGACTCCATGTCTTAGCTTGGTCCTCACCTGCACTCTCTCCTTTCATGACTGTCCCTGACTTGCTCGTTCCTCTACATAACCCCTGCTCAGTGCAGTCTTGTCCTCCATTACTGCAGTAGCCACCTGTGTGCTGACAGCCCCCCAGTCCCTTCCTGAAGCCAGAGTGCTTTCCCAGGGTCCAGGGCCCAGGTGACAAAGGGCATCTATCTTCACCTGAGTGTCCCTCAGGCACCTCAGGTGCAGCAAGTTCAAAGCCTAAACTCTTCCTTCCTTCTCATTTTGGTGACTGATGTCCCTCAGGTCTCCCTCTGCTTTACCAGGTCCTTTTGCTGCTGTTCTCTAAATATCTCTCTCAACTTCTTTCTGTCTCTGTTACACTATCCTAGACCAGACACCATCTCATACTTAATGATAATACCAGTTTCTTGCCTATTTTGCTTTTTTCATGCATGTTTTCAACATTGCGCCCCGGACTGACTTTTTATTTTTTGATTATTTTATTTTTATCTTTTGACACAGAGTCTCACTCTGTTATCCAGGCTAGAGCGCCATGGTATCAGCCCAGCTCACAGCAACTTCAAATTCCTGGGCTCAAGCATTCCCCCCTGCCTCAGCCTCCCAAGTAGCTGGGACTACAGGTGCCTTCCACAATGCCCAGCTATTTTTAGAGATGGGGTCTCAGGCTGGTCTCAAACTCCTAAGCTCAAGCTGTTCACCTGCGTTGGCCTCCCAGAGTGCTAGGATTATAGGTATGAGCCACTGCACTCAGCACAGCAGACCTTTTAAAAAGGACAAAAAAGCTTATTATTTCTGGGCTTAAATAATTCCTCAGTGCTTCCCATTGCCCTTAGGATGAAAACCCAAACTTCTTGAGTATAGCCCTTTGTGAATCAGCCCTGACCATCTCCCCTGCTGTCTCTGGGCATCCCTCTGCCACACACTCAGTTTCTTGAGTGAAACATGCTCTCTTCACCTGTGTGTTCTTAGACTCTGTATTCTGCCTAGAACACCACTCAGCAGCACATCCTTTATGTCCAGCTGCACCTTCTTGCGGTTTGAGTTCTCATCCTCTGGGAAGCATCCTTCCCTTGCAGTGCCAGCCCCACAGCCCCCAGTTCCTCCTTGGGTACACAGCAGTCAAGACTCAGGGAAGCTGCTTTTCTTTCTGCCTTCTAGACTGAGCTCCTGAGAGTAGGGCCCTATCTATCTCATTCATAATAGACAGTAGATCTCATTCTACTCCTGTGTAGTAGATTTCTTGATCTTGGGGCATTTGATATATTAGATTAATGATTAGTACCCTAGCACTTCATGTCTGTTATTGATTGTTAATGTTTTCAAATTCGGAGTTCTAATTTGTTTCTTGTTTCCTGTTTTTTTCTCTTGAGTAAAAGTGTTTTTTCATTTATTAATTAGGAGATACTAACTTTATATCATCCCAGAAACCTTTTTTTATGAAATGCCTTATCTTGTCCTAGTTCTAATTATTTTGGTTAAATTTTACTTTTGTCTTGATGTTTTCCCTCCAGGCTGAAACTCTATTGTTAGATGCCAATATGAACATTAAAATAGCAGGTTTTGGTTTAAGCAATGTATTTACTGTTGGCAATACTCAACATGTGTTTTGGCAGTCCCCTGCACTCAACCCCTGAGCTCTTCCAGGGCAAGATATTCCACGGGCCCGAGGTCAGTATGTGGAGGTCACATCTGAAGTCTCATGGCCATCCTGTGTATGCTCATCATGGCTCACTTCCCTTGGTTGGGCAAAGCCTGAAGGTACAGGAAGCAGTTGCATCCACGTGCTGTATCAAAGTAAAAGGAATTTTGTAAAATTATGTGGATTTGGCAGTGGGACCCATGTTCAGTGGGTAGGGCGCCGGCCACATACGCCAAGGCTGGCAGGTTCAAATCCAGCCCGGGCCAGCTAAAACAACAATGACAACCGCAATAACAACAACAAAAAAATAGCTGGGTACCTGTAGTCCAAGCAAGAGAATTGCTTAAGCCCAAGAGTTTGAGGTTGCTGTGAGCTGTGACACCTTGGCACTCTATCCAGGGCAACAGCTTGAGACTCTGTATCAAAAATATATATATATATATATGAGTTTATATTTTTAATGTTATATGAGTTTAGATATTTCAGTGAGGTTTTTTTGTTGTTGTTTTTTAACCTAAAAGTTGACTCTCACTAGTTTTCTTTCCGCCCTCCCTCCTGAAAGGAACCAGGAGAGAGCATCTGAAGAGGGGTGTACTGAATCCCTTTCTACATCTCTACAGGACTGTAAAACCCCCTCAGGCGTCTCCTGCTACTAAATCCAATTAAACAAAGCACTCTAGAGGTTGTCACATAAGTGAAAATAAGTCATAACTTGGGAGAGTTTTCAGACTGTTTTAGAATGTAGCTTGGTTTGTGTGGCATACTGAATACTTGCTGGGGACTTTTTAAGGAATTGAGGGACTTTTAAGGAATTGAGACATTAAAAAAAATTAAGTTACCCTTTAACCTATAGTCAAAAATTGTTGGAAATAAATCTTCTTATAACTGTGATAATCAGAATATTTTACTCGATGCTCCTCATGAACAGTTCACCTTTTCAGCAAATCATAAAGGGTAGGTAGGTCAGTGCAAAGGCATGGGCTAGAGGAATTTAAACCATTTGTGGAACCAGAACTAGACATCTCAGACCAGAAAAGAATAGGGAATACTCTGTGCCTACATGCTTATGTATGCATGTGTTTGTATAAATAACATATTTCTCTTTTGACTCATGTATATGCTTAAAATGTGAATAATGGAACATTAAGCGCAAGTTATATAATGGACAACTTAACTGATATATCAAATTTAGGAACTTAACTAACTGTAGTTTCCTGTAGTAGTAACTTAGAAACAAGTACTCATTTGTGTTAGAAAAATATGTGATCTTTTAGGTCAAATAAAGAAATTATTTTATCCTGTAACAGAATGATTTCTTACCCAAACAAAACACATAAATTATATTATACCCTTCTTTTTTAGATATTTTGGTGAAAATGGGATATTCACAAGAAGAAATTGAAGAATCTCTTAGTAAAATGAAACATGATGAAATCATACCATATAGTTGTTGTTTGAGAGAAAATTTTCAGAGGTAAGAGTATCCAGCGAGGAAGAGCTGAAGTATCCCTTACGTAAGGCCGGGCACGGTAGTTCATGCCTATAATCCTAGCACTCTGGGAGGCTGAATCGGGCAGATTGCTTAAGCTCATGAGTTCAAGACCAGCCTGAGCAAGAATGAGACCCCCCATCTCTAGAAATAGACAGGCATTGTAGCGAGTGCCTATACTCCTAGCTACTTGGGATGCTGAGGCAAGAAGATCACTTGAGCCCAAGAGTTTAAGGTTACTGTGAGCTACAATGCCACGGCACTCTACCGAGGGTGACAAAATGAGACTCTGCCTCAAAAAAAGAAAAGAAAGAAAGAAAAAGAAATATCCTTTATGTAAATTATTGGTTTGTGTAAACTGTTTTCTTAGTTTTAACATTTTAGGTATATATGATAGTTGATTTATCATTTTTTAAATTTACCTGCAAATAACAAATCTAACTCCTGTGACGTTCATAAGCTACTATTTTAACTTCAAGATAATAATTCTTTTTTTTTTAAAGGTTTATTTATTTATTTATTTATTTTTGCAGTTTTTGGCCGGGGCTGGGTTTGAACCCACCACCTCTGTCATATGGGGCCGGTGCCCTACTCACTGAGCCACAGGTCCCACCCCAAGATAATAATAATTCTTAATAAGTAAACAGAACATTTTAAGTTATTTGGAAAAGCCTGGAAAGAAGCTTATAGACATATAACTTTTTGTGACCTTTCCTGGCAGTCAGAAAAATACTTTTGCCTGAGTTTATGGTTGTCATTTTTAAACATTGTGATTCTTCAACTCTCTCAATGTACTGTTTTTGAGAGGTCTGTGTGTTATGAGTTTAGTTTCTTAATAAACCTTTTGGGTTCCTGTTGTGGTTTATTGTTTTTCTCATTTTCTCTCAGCTGGACTCTAGTGATTCCAGTTCTAGCGGCAGTCTTCCACTTGCTAGGATCAGGCCAAGCAGTGGTCTCAGCAACAACCCTGGCCAGTCTCAAGCCAGAAGCAGAGACATTACCATGTAAGTGTTCTCTTGTAATCTCCCTCCTAACTTTGGGAGGCATTCTGTCACTCAGGGCCTGCCAGGTTGGAGATTAGGATCTGTAAGTGAGGTGTTGTCCACATCTTTGTTTCTTTTGTGTTTGTTAGTTGCTAGTAAGGAGGGATTTTCAGGGCCCATGGGTGGCAGGGTAATTAGCAATGTCCTGAAATCTTCCAGTTTAAAGGGAATTGTTTCTAAAACCTAGGTGGGGGGAAAAAAGTGAAAGCAAGGTATGGGGGAAAATAAGGCAGCCAAAATTCCAATGCAATAGAAAAAATCAAAGTTTGTATTTAAAGCAAAGTGTAGATAAGCCTAGACTTATCTAGGGATTGGAACAGGGTCCCCCTCACAAGTGAAGAGGAGACACCACACAAGCCAGTGTACAAGTATCTCATTTCAGCGTCTCCTCCAATTATCTATACAGTTTTTCACTGACTCCTCTGGTCCTTTAGTTATTCTCATTTACTTCTCGTTGGTCACAGATTACCTCAGTTGTCACGGGTGCCCATTTTCCTTGTCTTTTTAGCCAGAATTGTTACCTGTTATTTTCCTGACAATTGTATGATGGTGTCTATTTGTCTTGTGATGTTTGTTCTGTAACTGTGACCATTATTTCCTTTTGTGTCACAAACTAGCAACAACTAGGGAAGAACAGGACAAACTCGGTCAGTTCAGTCACAAGGTTCCAAAACTCATTGTTTGCTTCTGGGCCCTTTTTAGCTTTCTTATCTATAAAGCCAGACTTTTCTCTTATTTCCTTCCCTGTAGCCTATGTCTATCCCTAATCAAGAAACACCTAAGGAGAGGGGTGAGGCCAGGAGGAGGGAAAGTTTTTGGTGCACCAATGTGCATAATGCAATGGTACATTTCAAAACTATTAAGAATAGAGTATAAATGTCTTACCACAGCAAATAAGTAAGCGAGGTGATGGTAATGTTAATCAGTTCAATGTAACCATTCCACATTGTATATCAAATCAGTAAATTGTACCCCATAAATGCATTAATGTACACAGTTATGATTTAATACAGAAATAAAAAAGTCCTGGGCAGAACCCAGGACTCTGGTCCTGTGGATTTGTTCACTAAACCATCTCCTTTTATAATAATAATCATTATTCTTTGTTGGAGCTTCTAATGCTAAAAGGAAGTTCATAAAAGAATATTTCCAGAAATTATTTAATAGAGAAAATCACTTATTGACCTAATCCCTGGTTACTTTTTTTTTTTATGGAGCTAGAAAGAGTGGTCAGCAAGGGAAAGATTTGATTATGCCTCTAGTTATGCTCTTTTGAGTATTAAAAATTAGATAGGTTCCAAATTTGATGCCTAGCAAAGTACATCCACTTGATTCCAGGTGAGGGCAGGCAAGCCAACCAGGCTAGTGTTTAGCTTGTCCACCAGCCTCCTCTCCCCTTTCCCCTTATCCTACTCTCTGCTGCCTACCTTTGCATATATACCTGCTTCTCTAAAACCACAATGTAATTTGTAGCCGTGCTTCTTAATCTGGGACCTTGTGCATGTGTGTATTTGTACACATTTTTCTGGAAAGGATGACTTTTATCATATTTTCAAGGGGTTCTTTAGCTTGTTTGAAAAAAAAAAAAGCACCAGTTTGCTAATCAGTAAACAGTATTGGGACAAGTTGGTAGTTCTTAGGAAAAAAATAATTTAGATCTATTTCTCACATTTTATATAAAGATGAATTCCAATTGGAGTGAAGGTGGGAATAAAAAGGCCCCAGAAATATTGAAAGATGTTTCCTAAGCAGGACTCTACAAAAAGGAAGGAAGGAAAGTAGGGAGGGTAGGAGGGAGGGAGGGAGGAAAGAAGGATTAAAAGATAACATGGAATGATTTGCTTTATAACTTGGACTGGTAAAGGTCTATGACCTTAGACACCAAACCCATGAAAGAAAAGACTTGCAAATTTGACTGCATAAAATTTCTATGTGATGCACCCATACTATGAACTACTACTTAACAGTAAAAGAACACACAACATCTTGGATGGATCTCAAGGGAATTATATTGTCTGACATACCATTCCATACACATAACATTCTTAAAATGGCAGAATTATAGAGATGGAGAGCGAGTTAGTGGTTGCCGGGGCTCGGGAAAAGAGTCTGGGGGAGAGGGAGGTGGCTATAGCTGAAGCTGGCTGTAGCTCTGAAAGGGTAGCCCAGGAAGTCTCTGAGATGGATCTGCACTGTGTCTCAGCTGGTGATAGCCACGCAAATCTGCATGTGTGATAAATGGATGTACAACTAAATACACAGACACAACTGAGTGCAAGTAAAACGGGAAATATGAATGCATTCAGTGGATTGGATCAATGTTTCCATTCTAAATCTTAAAATCTCAAATCTAAATACAGTTAGTTAGACCAGGCATAAAGGCAGCTCAGGCCTGTAATCCTAGCACTTGAGAGGCTGAGGTAAGTGGATTGCCTGAGCTCAGGAGTTCAGACCAGTCTGAGCAAGAGCAAGACGCCCATCTCTACTAATAATAGAAAAACTAGCTGAGCATCATGGTGGGCTCCTGTGGTCCCAGCTACTCAGGAGACTGATGCAAGAAGATCACTTGTACCCAGGAGTTTGAGATTGCTGTGAGCTATAATGCCATGGCACTCTAGCCAGGGGCAACAGAGTAAGACTCTGTCTCAAAAATAAAATACAATATTACAAAAGAAAATCAAATGATGCTTTTTAAAAAGAAAATAAATACAATTAGTACAGGTTTTAAAGCCAATCAATAGTAACCTGAAGGTTCACAATGTTAGTAAACCTCTTGTGATATTGGAAAGAAAGATAAGCGTTAAGGGTGATATCACCCTATATTGGGTTATCTCTTTTGTTTTACATGTTAAAATTACTGCTCTGACTGTTTAATTGTTCTCACCCATAAATAAAATTAAGCCCAGTGGGTTTTGCTGTGTGACCCAGGCTGGAATGCAGCAACCCAGTCACAGCTCATTGTAGCCTCAAACTCCTAAACCCTGTATACTTTTAATTCAGTTCCAAATACATTTGCCATTTAAAATTTTGTCCAAGTAGCAACTTTCCCCCTTCTCTCCTTTCAATAGATCTAAAATATAAAGTCCCTTCTGTCTCATTTGGTGCTGTTCTTTAAGGTTACTAGTGGACATCAAATCTGATGAATTAATTTCAAAAATCCTTTGCACTCCAGATTACCTGTGCTGGTATTAGAATCTGCACACACATATGATTTATTACAGGGCATCAGTTCATCGTGCACCTGGGGTGTCTCTAGGCGCGCTGCTCCTGGGGTTGGGGGTATGGCCAGCAACTTCTGCCCCCTTCCTCCCTGTCATTTGCTTGAGGAACATACTTTCCTCTGCTTTTACCACCTGCCTTTGTCTACTCAGGTTCTTGTTTACCTTCTAAAAGATTATGGGTACTTTTAAAAAGATCCAAGATAAAACTTTAAAAGAAATGGCCCATAAAATCTATACTGTTCTGTTCCAGAATGGATGTAATTCACTCAGATACGTATATAAGGTGAATCAGTTCATTCTGCGTGATGCGTGTGCCTCTAATTAATTTGGTCAGTTGTCTATACAGTAACAACTCCCCATTAATACGTTTCCAAAGGACCACTCTGAACAATTATTATTATTTTAAAACATCTTTAAGAAAAGTAGAATGTTAGGGACTTTTACTAAGTGCAATTTTAAAATTGAATTCATTGCAGAGTAAACATTATATGTAAGTGGGAAACGTCTTAGACGATTTTACTGTTTTGTAGTTGTGTAGACAAATAGCTGTCTTAGATCATCTTACAAAATGTTTATTTCCACACAATAAAATGTGAAATTATATTTTATCTCTTAAAAAGTAAACTCTTTGTTATAGCTGGACCAGCTATTCCTTCAGTTGTGGCATATCCAAAAAGGAGTCAGACCAACACTAAAGACAGTGACCACAAAGAAGATGGAATTCCCTCCCAGATATCAAGAGGCATTGCTGTTGGGAGAGAGGGAATTGCTCCAGCCAATCCCATGCTTGGGGATGCAAGAAAAGCTCCACTAGTGTAAGTGTTGCTGAACTAGAGAGCAGACCTAGGATGATAGAGTTGAAACCAGCTGGACAACTGTTCTGAGCTTGTCCATTTTACTCCCTATTACGCCACCAGGCCCAGTCCCAACCTACAGAAATTAGAAATATAGAAATTCTTCCTGCTGCATTGTAGGTATTTCTTTCTTTTTTTTTTTTTTTTGTAGGTATTTCTTGTTGACACCCTGTGTCTTAGTCCATTCCTGATGCTGTCACAAAATACCTGAGAATAGGTAATTTATAAAGAACAAAAATTTATTTCAGAGGTCGGGTATAGTGACTCATGCCTGTAATTCTAGCACTTTGGGAGGCCAAAGTAGGAAGATCACTTGAGGCCAGGAGTTTGAAACCAACCTGAGCAAAAGTAGAGACATCCTCTCTATGAAAAATTAGCCCAGTATAATCATATGCACCTGTAGTCCCGGCTACTCAGGAGGCTGAGCCAGGAGGGTCACTCTAGCCCAAGAGTTCAAAGTTTAAGTATGCTGTGATAAGGCCACTGCAGTCCAGCCTGAGTGACAGAGCAAGACTCTATATAAATTTAAAAAAAAAAAAATTCAGTTCTGGAGGTTGGAAAGTCCAAATCAAAGTGACAGTGAGTTTGGTATCTGGGGGGGACCCTGTTCCCTGCCTCCAAGGTGATATAATTATTGCTACATCCTCCTTAGGAAACTAAGGCTCTATCCTCACTTGGCAGAAGGGATGGGAGTGACGAACTCACCCCTTCAAACCCTTTTACAAGATGCTAATTCATTAATAAGGGCAAAGCCCTCATGACCTGATGCCTTTTACACATAATACATTGGAGATAAAAGTTTCAGCATGACTTGGCACCCGAAGCACAGTGGTTACAGCGCCAGCCACATACTCCAAGGCTGGCGGGTTCAAACCTGGCCCTGGGCCACCTAATCAACAATGACAACTCCAACAAAAAATAGGCAGGTGTTGTGGCAGCCTCTTGTAGTCCCAGCTACTTGGGAGGCTGAGGCAAGAGAATCGCTTAAGCCGAAGAGTTGGAGGTTGCTGTAAGCTGTGACGCCACGGCACTCTACTAAGGGCAACATAGCAAGACTCTGTCTCAAAATTTAAAAAAAGTTTCTGCATGAATTCTGGAGGAGACACAGTCAAACCATAGCACACACCGCCCCGCCCCCTCCCCGTATACACTATGGCAGTGATGAAGTCCTATATGTCAAGTGCCATGTCCAGTTGTTCCACAGACATATGCTGAGCTTCAGGTTATGTTCGGCAGTGAGAGACAGAAAGACCTCAGTCTGACAAAGGAAGGAATAAAAGCAATGACAGTGTAGACAGATGACAGCAGACAGAAGCCCACCATAAACACACAAAAGACAGTTCTATTGCTCTGTATCTTAAATCATACGCATACATGTATGTGTGTGTCCATAGATATGTACTAGGAACAACCCAACGTGTCTTTAACTACTTGAAACAGGAGTCTCTGTTGCAAGTGACAGGAACCGAGTCCAAATAGGCTCCAATTAAAAAGTGCATCTGTTAGGTCCTACAACTAAAAACACCCAGGCCTAGAGTCAGGATTCTTAAAAATGTCCTTTGGGCCAAGCGCAGGGCTTAACACCTATAATCCTAACATTCTGGGAGGCCAAGGCGGGTGGATTGCTTGAGCTCAAGAGTTGAAGACCAGCCTGAGTAAGAGTGAGACCCCATCTCTAAAAATAGCCGGGCATTGTGGTGGGTGCCTGTAATCCCATCTACTTGGTAGGCTGAGGCAAGAGGATTGCTTGAGCCCAAGAGTTTGAGGTTGCTGTGCACTATGATGCCACGTTACTGTACCAAGGGTGACAAAGTGAGTCTCGAAATAAAAAAATAGGGCAGCACCTGTGGCTCAAAGGAGTAGGACGCCGGCCTCATATACCGGAGGTGGCCGGTTCAAACCCAGCCCTGGCCCAAAACTGCAAAAATAAATAAATAAATAAAATTAAGTAAACAAATAAATGTCCTTTGGGTAGAAGATTCTAAACTGTATTGTTAAAACAATGTAGGATACCCTGTTATATAATAACGAATTTTTATAACCATAACCTTATTAGTTCATTTAAAATATGTCAGTGTGTTTTGGGAAAACGTTGAGAGTACAGTATGCTCATACAATGATACATTTCAAAACTATTAAGAAAAGAGTATAACTATCTTACCACAACGAATAAGTAAACAAGGTGCCTGATGTGTTAATCAGTTCAATGTAAGCATTTCACATTGTATATCAAACGAGTACACTGAACCCCGTAAATGTATCAGTGCACACAGTTATGATTTAATTAAAAAATATATTAAAAAAATTGACTTGGCACCTGTAGCACAGTGGTTATGGCACCAGCCACATGCACCAAGGCTGGCAGGTTTAAGCCCAGCCCAGGCCAGCTAAACAACAATGACAACTGCAACAAGAAAATAGCTGGGTGTTGTGGCAGGTGCCTGTAGTCCCAACTACTTGGGAGGCTGAGATAACGAATCACTTAATCCCAAGAGTTTGAGGTTGCTGTGAGCTGTGACACCACAGCACTCTATTGAAGGCAACATAGTGAGACTGTGTTTCAAAAAAAAATAAAATATACATATATATACACACACACACGCATATAAAATCATCATATATATGTATGTAAATATATATGTAGACTATTCCCTTAAACGCTATGAGACTTTGTCTCATTACATGCTATTTTGGTATCCTTCCCCACTTAACTTGACTTTTGCTCTTAAGTCCTATAAAATACCCTTTGGATCTGGATTAATTATACCTGGTTTTCACCACTGTGTATAAAAAGATTATATTCTATGTTTATAAGAGTCTCTTATGTTCTAATGTCCACAGCACTATTCCTGATCAATGAACTTCAGCTGCTCCAACACACAGTATTAGCAGTGCAACCAGCCTGAATCAAATCCACATCCCAAGAGGCCTTGCCAGTCATAGCACTTTCCATGACCCCATGGGCGCGGCCAACTGCAACATAACTGTATAACGGCGCCCACCTCTCCCACCCTCTCCCAGCCTGTCCTGTGAAGCCACACTGTTGCCCCAGACTCGAAGCTAAGACTCCACTAATCCTTTTAGCAAGTTAACTTTGGAGCTCAGAAGGAGGTAAGTGTCTGGTGATGCTAGTCGTTTTGGAGTGAACATACAGAGCATAAAGAGAAAGTTCTTCCTGTTGTGTGAAGCCACTGTCCAGATATTTTTCATTCTGCCTTCAACTCTTGTTTTTTCTGGATTTTATATATCTAACTTTGTACATTAAAGTAGAAATTACAAAGCTCAATGTCTTTTTCTAACACTGAATATTGTCTAGTATTTGGGGAGGAGGGTTGTTATTATTCTTTTTCCCTTAGGTCACACACCTATCCACATGGCTTGTTCAGTGCAGGTTAGGAAATCTCCAGTTCTGGTGTAAGCAAGGGACTGGTGCTCCATACCAATCACCTAGGAAGATGATGCATCCATTGTAATCATCCACAGAACCAAGGAGAGGGACATTACCTCTTTTCTCACTTCATTGTCATTAAAGAGCTTCAAGTTTCTCGAAGTCCAAATCTTAAAATTTTTCTCTCCCTTAGGAAATTATCTTGAGGGCAGGATAACTTTCTTCAAAGGTACAGTTTTAAAGATAATCTTTGGTGTATTCTCAAAAAATATTATGTTTTCATATCCAGGGCATAAGAAAGAAAAAAAGTAATAATATCAGGTTATGTATAAAATACTTAATGTGTCTAGGTAGGCTGTCATTTTAGGCCCTGGGAAACTATAAGGGTCCTTTGAGGTAATTTTGACTTCATTTCCATGATCTACTATACATGTTGCCAAAGCCTAGAAATATTAGTTGCTTTCAGAGGAAAAAGAAAAGACACCACTTGGAACCATAAGCAAATAGTGAAAGACATCTTTACTCAGGAAAACCCCAGGAACTCAAAAGCCCCTGCAGTTTTAGGGCTCCCCTGAGGGACTTCTTTGGAGTTAAGCCTTGAGGTGGATTAAACTGTCTGAGGTTTCCTGCAGATATTTTTTAATTGGTCAGTTGATACCTGAAGCAATGCCAAGAGTTATCCCAAATTAGAAAAAAGTCCAAGGATTTCCCATCCCTCTTGTCTGTCACCCGTATCTAGGCACCAGTAAGGGTCTCTCAGATGTACAATGGTCAGAGCTCCCGTCCTCTGTTTTCTGCACTCCCCATGCCCTGTTAACCTCTGCTCAATGTCACACTTTGCCATTATTTAAATTGTAGGCCAAATGTCATTTTTCAGACTCCTTAATTTCTCTAGATTAGTCATCTAAAATTTAAGTGAGCCACATTAAATAGTCTGATCTGTTTATTGTTAGGATGTCAAATGGTAGATATGGGAAGATTTCTAATAAGTTAATTAGCATTAACTAATAATAGAAATGAAATCAGACAAGTCAAAAGATTCCAGTCTACCTTTCTTATTCTTTCTCTCTCTATATGTACTCTCTCTCTCTGTCTCCATATATATACATATATATACACACACATATATATATGTGCGTGTATGTGTGTGTGTGTGTGTATTTGTTTTTAGACAGAGTCTCATTTCATTGCCCTTGATAGAATACCGCAGCATCATAGCTCACAGCAACCTCAAACTCTTGGGCTCAAGTCATCCTTTTGCCTTAGCCTCCCAAGTAGCTGGAACTATAGGCACCCACCACACATGGCTATTTTTTAGAGACAAGGACTCCCTCTTGCTCAGGCGGATATCAAACACCTGAACTCAATTTATCCACCCGCCTCAGCATCCCAAAGTGCTAGGATTACAGGTGTGAAAATATATTTTAAAGATTTTTTTTAGTCATTTTTCAACTAAAATTATCTTTGGGTTAATACTACCTTATATATGTAGTGTTTATTTATAAAACATTTTCACATGCATGACCCTCTTTACAGTGGATAGCCCTGCTGTGTACCACTTTCGATCTGATTATGAAATGGTTAGCAGTTATTTACAGTAGATATTTTTTAATTGGTCAGTTGATACCTGAAGCAATGCCAAGAGTTATCCCAAATTAGAAAAAAGTCCAAGGATTTCATTAATTCAGTCATTCAGCAAATATATATCATTGCCTGTTGTGTCCAATTACAGAACTGGCCTTTACAAATAAAAGTTAATAAGAACAGCCTGTATTTGTCCAGGGAAGCCAATCACATGATTATAGAAGTCTGTTCCATAGTTCAAAAAGTCTATTATCAGATTCTGTTCAGCACGGCCTGTGCACCTGCTTAATTTTTTTTAATGACCAGAGTCACTCTTTTTAAATACAATTCTTCCAGTTAGTTACATAAAAATAAAATTCATTGTTATCTTGTCACTTAATTTTTATTTTGAGATCTAAAATGGACCATCTACTTCAGTTTAAACCCCAATAACCTATTTTTTTCTTAAAGTGATTTATGTCAGTCTCAACGCCTATAACTCAGCAGCTAGGGCACGAGCCACATACACCGGGGACTGGTGGGTTTAAACATGGCCCGGGCCTGCCAAACAACGACAACTACAACCAAAAAATAGACGGGCATTGTGGTGGGCACCTGTAGTTCCAGCTACTTGGGAGGCTAAGGCAAGAGAAACGTTTAAGCCCAAGAGTTTAAGGTTTAAGTTTAAGGTTGTGAGCTCTGATGCCATGGCACCCTAACGAGGGCAACATAGGGAGACTATGTCTCAAAAAAAAAAAAAGTGATTCATATCATAATAAATAAACATTCTATTAACGTTTAAAATTAAATCATCTTCCTGAAAGAAGCAGTGAGCTTCTCAATGGTTAAATATTTTTATAATGAAAATTTTTGATGTTTATACATAAGAAGACAATATTTCTATACATTAGATATTCTGAAGAAAGTTGAAAAATTTTGTTTTATTACTAGTACATTGCAAATGACTTGTCATTTCTTTATCACAAGACGTTTTATCTTAAAAGTGTGTCCATCTGAAGAACTTTAAATAGATTTAATTAGATCTGATATCAATATTTACTGCTAAACTTTTGCTTACAAGTTGCCCTGGGTAGAGTGCTGTGGCATCACAGCTCACAGCTCCTGGGCTCAAGCGATTCTCCTGCCTCCACCTCCCAAGTAGCTGGGACTATAGGCGCCTGCCACAACACTTGGCTATTTTTTGGTTGCAGCCATCATTGTTGTCTAGCAGGCCCAGGCTGGATTCAAACCCACGAGCTCAGGTGTATATGGCTGGTGCCTTAGCTGCGTGAGCCACAGGCGCCAAGTCGCTAATTTCTTTTTTACTTAATTTCTTTTAGAAACATGTCATTCAGGTTTATCAAATGGTAGGATATATATATACATATATATATATATATACATATGCACACACACACATTTATTTTCCAGTCCTCGTCCCCAAATAGGCTCTGCAATTAACATCAGGTGTGGTTTCCTGGCCTTGTTTTTAATTTTTTTTAAACTAAACTTTCTAAGTATACACTTATTTATTTCCTTAAAAGGAAACTGGAAAGAAATAGATTAATTCTTGTCAGGCATTTTAAAGGGAATGTGATGCCCAGGCAACAAAAGGCCTGTGTGTGCTCTATGCATTTTCTTTCTTTTTTTTTTTGAGAGAAAGTCTCAAGTTGTCACCCTGGGTAGAGTACCCTAGCATCATAGCTCACAGCAACCTCAAACTCTTGTGCTCAAGCAGTCCACCCCTCGGCCTCCCAGAGTGCTAGGATTACAGGCATGAGCCACCTTACCCAGCCTCTTTCTTTTTTTATTTCAAAATGTTAAGGGGGTATAAATTTTTTAGGATACATGGATCACTTCAAGATGGTATCACTCTTGCCATGCAACAGACTGTTTTCCTATACTAGATAGAATAGACAAACAGAACGGTGTGTGTGTGTGTTTAGAGAGAAAATTTAAATATATATATAACATAAAAAAAAATTTCTATCACAGGTCCAAGACTCTCCAGAGTGATCATGACACCTGCATCACTCAAGAAGGTGGCTGCCCTCTCAGCTTGGGTCCCAGAGTGAGTGGAGCAAAGTCCCTGGTGGACCTTTAATGGACCCAGAACATAAATGAGAAATAAACCTCGTTGTCACAGGCCATTGAGATTTGGGGGTAGTATGTCTGCAGTACAGTTTAGCCTCCTTGACTGACATGGGACCACACACTCAACATATCTTTTCTGAGTTATCCTTTCAGGCTGATACTAGTTTGGTAACAAAGAGATTTTTGCTGGGTCTTTGTTTGTTATGACAAGGGGACCACTGTCTGTGGCAAATGTATCTTGCTCTGTAAACCTATATCTTGCTCTTGCTCTGCAAACAATAAACCTTATTCCACACTTGTAAAAAAAAAAAAAAGAAAGAGAAAATGAAGAGTTGTTTTGTTTTGTTTTTATTAAATCATAGCTGTGTACATCAATGCATTTATGGGGTACAATGTGCTAGTTTTGTATACAATTTGAAATACAACACACTGGTTAACATAACCTGCACCACATTTTCTTAATTGTTGTGTTAAGACATTTATACTCTACACTTAAGAGCTTTGACATGTACAACATTTCTTTTTCCTGCCTGTGTATAGCCGCCAATGCCCTCTACAGAAAAGGGAAAAAAAAAATCAGTGTTATCAGAACTACTTTATGCATATTCAAGCAAATTCATGCTTTTTCTCCTTTTTTACAACACAAGTGATTGCATGTTTTACGTCCTATGCCTTACTTTTTGCCTTTTATACTTTGGAAATTGTTCTATAGTAGCCCATATTTATTTTTTCCTTATCACTTTCCATATCAATGTAATATTCCATTATAAAAATATAGTAGTACTTATTTATTTAACCAGTGCTTTATTAATGGACCTTTAAGAATTTTCTCATGTTTTGCCAGTCTGAATAATACTGGATTAGCCATCAGAATGCTGAGAAAAATTATAATCATTTGCCCCTGAGTCCAGAGGTAAATTTGTTTATATTTTGAGTAATTTTATGAATGATTTACAGGCGTAAGAATAAAGGGATAGTGACAAACTAATATAAATCATAATAAGAATTTAAATGTAGGAAACCCAAATTTCTTGCCTACATATTCCTGTTTTGAAAGTATATATGTCACAAAAGGGCAGTGTCCTTTGTTTGCTGCTAACTGCTCATGCCCTGCCTTGCAACCCAA